TCTCCAGAGCACCACGAGTGTTCATAAAGCCACGCCAAGGGACTTGCATTGTTTGAGCAGGGCTGCAGAGGAGATCAGTGACAAGAGGTAGGATGAGAATGAAGTAGATATCTGTTCTCATTCCCATGGGCTAGGGAAAGAAATTACACATAAACTGGTATATGTGATTGGAAACTAGTTCAAATCTGTAACAAAAGTGGTTCGCTACACATAAACCACTTTAATGGCTGAAACAGGTTTAAGATAAACTTGGATGGATGTAGTACCTAATTTAACTGATTTGTTAAATTGGTGTATTGAACTTCTCTCCCAGATTCCCTCCAAATTTAAGTTAACTCAGACCCCCAGCATCCCAGGATGCTTTGCACATCCCCCACAACCCACCCCACCTCAGGGTGGGCAGGCTAGACTTGGCCCAAGCTGTCTGCTCCAGCCAACCAGGGAGGCAATGCTCTAGCACGCCCCAGCTTCTGGTCTAAACCACTGCAGGCATGTGGTTGCATTTCCAGAATCAAAAGCGACTGTCTGTTCACTTGCTTATTGGTTCAATCTGTGCAGTTTAGACTAACCTGTGAAGATGGAATCCATTCAGCCTCGTGTTTTTTGACTGTCTGTACTTAGCCACGTTGACTCCACTAGATCATGATAGAAGGCCCCTGTGGCCATGATTCTCTGCCATCTTGCACCTCTTGTGATCATTTGCACCAGTGTAAAGGGATATAATTTTTATCCTGGGTTATATAAAAAGAAAAACAAATCGAATTAATAGTATATTACACAAATTTTGCATTTGTGTAAACAACTCTATACACTGCATAAAGTGCAAGGAAGGGGAGAATCTGACCCTGAACTTCAATTACAGGAGTTGTTTCTGGATATCATTAGTGGGTCCTGTACACAAGAACCATACTTGATATTTATTTGAAAATTCAAAAATTCTAATATTATAAAAGCCTAAGTTTGTCTGTCTGTCTGTAAGGCTTTATTTGCGCTCTGATTGGCTGACAAACATCCAATCAGAGTGCAAAGAAGCATTCCAACAGAAGGCAGTCTGCCTCCATGATGTTGGGGACACGGGACAGAGCGGGGGTGGGGGGTGAGGAGGGGGAGGGCAAACCCAGCATAGCCCCCCCCCACCTGCTTC